GGCCGCCTTGACGCTTCCATCAATTGATCAAATGGCCTTGATTTCATCGATTAGCTGCTGATCCTGTCCCTCGAATGTGACTTCTTGTGATCGGAAGAACTCGGGCTTCAGTAGTGTGACGTCCTTGTTGTCGTTCTTGCCCTGATCGTGATCTGCTCGTCGAGACAGGAGATCTGCCTTGCGGTTGAGTGCGCCGGGTCGGTGTCGTAAGGTGAAATCAAACTCCGCCAACTCCGTGATCCATCGTGCTTGCCGTCGATTGAGCTTCTGCGGCTTCCGGAAGTACTCAAGATTCTGATGATCAGTGAAGATCTCGAACGTCTCCGTGGCTCCCAGTAGTAGCTGTCTCCATTCATCCAATGATAGCATGATTGCAAGCATTTCCTTGTCGTAGATCTCATAATTTCGCTCGGTTTCGGTCAGTGCGTGCGAAATAAATGCGATTGGGCGCCAAATGCCGTCTTGGTTTTGGCTCAAAACTGATCCTGTTGCCCCTTCCGAAGCATCGGCTTCCAGACGATATTGGCCAGTGTCATTTGGCAGTGCTAGGACCGCATCCTCCGCGATTCTCTTCTTCAATCCATCAAATGCCGCATGCTCATCTGCACCCCATGACCATCCTGCCTTCCCTGTCAGCCGTGTCAATGGCTTGGCAACCTCCGCGTATCCCCGGACAAAGCGCCGATAGAAGTTTGTGAATCCGAGGAAAGCTTGGACCTGTTTGACACTCTTTGGTTCTGGCCATTCCATCACGCCCTTGATTTTGACTGGGTCCATCCGCATCGAATTGTGTCCAATAATTACACCCAAATATTCGATTTCCGTGCGTTCGAACTCGCACTTTTCGGGCTTCAGGTATAGCTTGTGTTTCTGGAGCAATTCGAGCACTCGTTTCGTGATCCGCCGATGTTCGTCCAAGTTTTCTGTGAAGATCAGTATATCGTCTAGATAGACTACCACGTGACCCTCGTTGATCAACTCTCGGAGTATGTCGTTCATCATGTTTTGGAACGTTGCCGGGGAATTTGTGAGACCGAAGAACATAACTAAGGGCTCGTACAGCCCTCGGTTCGTGCGGAATGCAGCCTTCCACTCGTCGCCCTCTTTGATACGTACATTGTTGTACCCCCACCGGATGTCAAGTTTTGTGAAGAACTTGGCGCCACATAGATTATGGACTAGTTCGGATATCAGCGGCAGCGGGTATCGATTCCGAATCGTCATCTCATTCAGCTTCCGATAGTCTTGGACGGGGCGTAGGGAGCCATCCTTCTTCTTGACAAAGAAGAATGCTGATGCCATGGGTGATTTTGATGGCCTGATCCGTCCACTGGCCAGGTTCTCTTGTAAGAATTCGTCGAGTTTGACTTGTTCATTGCGTGATAGTGGGTACACCTTGCAGTCCACTGCCTTGGAACCAGGTTTGAGCTCGATTGCGTGATCCCATGCCCGTCGGTCTGGTAGCGAGTCGAACGATTCCTTGGCGAATACTTTGACAAATTCCCGATATTGATCCGGAATCTTCCCCTCGGTCATCCTCTCCTTCTCTTTTTCCGCTTCTTCTGCGAATTTCTGCGCCGGCGTTTCCTTCAGCCGCAGATCCACTTCCTTCCCAAAATCGACCAACAGGATCGATTCTCCCTCTTCCAGATCCGGTGTGCCCGTGTCCAGGTCGATTGCATCCATGTCAATCATTGCTTGATGTTCTTCGTGACCCCTCATGTGACACCGCTCTGGGCATCGGCTGAATCTCATGGTCTGCTCCTGCCAATCCACCTCGGGGTTGTGTTCCGTCAGCCAATCAAGACCAATGAAGATCCGAGCTTTCCCTAAACACGTCAGAAGGAACGTGCGTGTCTCCACGTGAGGGCCGATTCTCATCCTCAGGTCAACGTAATGCGTGATCCGGCCGCTGATGTTTTCGGTGTTGTCGGCGTTACGGGCCACAATGGGTTGTGGAAGCTCTTGAATATCCAACTTCTCCGCCCGTGCGTAGTCGGTATCGATGCAACAGGTACTGCAGCCGCTATCGAGCAGCGCCTTGACTCCGCGCGTTTTCCCTGAGTCCAGACCCGTGATCTGGACATATACGTCCATCGAATGTCTCTTCCTTTCGGCCTGGTAGTCGCGCAATTCCTGCGCCAGTCTGTCGGGCTGCGGGCCCTTCTGTCTCTCGGCCGCCAATTTCCTTTGAACGGCATCTGGCACCCTTGTGCGTTTGGGTGCTTCTGGAACCTTGGTTTCGGCAGATTCCTTGGGCGCTTCCTCCTTTTTCAAGGATTGAGCCTCCGGAGCAATGCTCCCCTTTTCGGTCTTTGTTGACGTGGTTCCTTCTCCACGAGCCATAAATACGTAGGAGTCCAAAATTAATTTATCCGCAGTTTTTTGATCCTTTTTACTCTGTAAATACTCTCTATTTAAAGCTATTTTCCTTTGTCGTTCTTTTTCCATATCAGCGACGAGAAAATCATGAATATTAGTACGTAGGGAGTCTGAGATCGTGTATGTATGAGGGGAATCGTTCATATCTTTAATCGAAACAAGTACAGAAAAACGTCCATAGTCCGGACGCTCCACCTCCTTGGCTAGAGGAGTGGAGCGCTTCAAAAACCCTTCTCGCGCAGCTTCTCGGCAATCTCCTTGAGGAACTCGTTGTCCTTATCCCCGTTCTCAATCTCTTCCAGCATTGTGGCCCGATTGAAGAACGTGCGCTTCTTCTTGGGCTCCGGACAATTCCGCGCGATGTGCCCAGGCTGCTGACAGTTGTAGCAGATGATATTGCAGCTGCGGGCATGGGTGCGATCGATTTCCATCGGGACCGGTTCGTTGGCAGCCGGTCGGGTCGGGGCAGGCATGGGCGCCGCTGGTGCTGCCTGAGGGCGGAATTGGGGAGGAGGCCGTGGAGTCGAGTGCGTATAGGAGGCCTTACGCAGCTGATCGCGCAAGGCATTGGCCTCGATGTTGACACACCAGTTCTTGAAGGCACCATATGCCTTTGGCAGGGGAACGCCGGTGTTGTAGAGGCGGCTTGCAATTTCGCTGCTGAGTCCGCGCTCCAGGAACTCGATGAGGATGTTGTCCTGTTCCCCCTTCTTGTACTCGCCCTTGCTGTCGGTGGAAGTGACCACGTTGTACCCCGCGTCTGCAGCCAGCATTTCAAAGTCGGAGATGTAGTCCGCAAAGGACCGTCTGCCCTGGCGAAGGGCCATGAGTCGGGCGGCAGCGACTTGCTCTGCGTTGGAATCCCCAAAGGCCCTCTGAAGCTCCTCCAAGAAGCTTGTTGCGGTGACCCCCGCCTTTAGTCCTTGGAAGCCCTCGAAATTGTGCTGCTTCCAGTTCATCGCCCATCTTGAGGCGGCGCAGCTTGTGCTGCTCTCATTTCGGAGGTAGGACAGGACGAAGAGGATTTTTGTTTCGTCCAGCGAGAACTCCGACCGATAGGCACCGATGTAAGTGGTGCACGCGTCCACAAAGCCCAGGTACTTGGACTTGTCGCCATCGAAGTAGGGAGGATTGGCGGCGAGAGTGATGCGGTGATGTCCTGACATGGTAGGAGCAGGTGTGGTAGGTGGGGGCGAGGGTGGTTGTTCGGAGGGTAACTCTTCAAGGTCGGGGATCTCGTCTTCAGGAGGCGGGAGGGCGAGGTAGGGGTTGGAGGGCCCGGGTTGGTTTTGATGCGCCAGATCGGGCGACGATGGTAGGATGGGAGGAGGAGACGGACTCCCAGACGACAATGGGAATCGGAACGAAATGGTGGATTCGTGTGCTGTACAAGCACTCGAGGAAAGGTTCTTTTGCTAGCAAAAAGATCCCGGGCCTAGCTCTTCACGTGCCCGATGATCCCGAGGTGCGTTTTCCCGAAGGTCTCCGCAGCACTCCTTGTAGCTACCGTAAGGCTTGGGTCGGGCTCAACATTACCCGTGGCCTGGTGCTGTTTGCTCGATATGAACCCTTCACTGCGATCGCAGAGGACGACTAGATGATTTGGTAAAAGGGTAAGTGGGGTGATAAGGATGAAGAGGATATAGCGGGCGTAGCGGTGCGGTGATGCAGGGTAGGAGGTAAGAGGTACGAGGGTATGAGGGGAGTCTTCGAATTATGTGACAATCAACCCAAAAACAAAGTCGAAAAGAGAACTGAATTCGAAGACTGGAGAATACAACCAAGTAGCTACAGTATTTATACCCAAATCCAGTCTGAGTCATATCTACAACTAATGAGTCATAGGGCTATGTACCGCATGGAGCACTGGTCATGGGTTGTAGTAGAACCTTCCGGAGCATATGTCGCGCAGCCTCGAATCAATAGAGATAACCCCTGGAACCCCTAGCCCGGACCGTCTGATGCCGTGATCCGTGATAAGATAAGTCGTGCCAAGATAAGATAAGATCGCCGATGATAAGATAAAAAAGGGTCGAGTTATGACAGCTGTGTTTTGTTCTTTTGTCTTTGTGCTTCTAGTTGTTTTGTTTTGTCGTTTCGCAAGATCGTTGTTGATTCCCCGTTCTGCCCTGGTATGGTGACCTCGTCTGCTGCGTAGTCGTGTATTGCTTTCGCCGCCGCCAGGGACGGTTTTCCGAACAGAAGGGACCATCCCCCACTGCTTGGAAATACTTCCAGGTCTGCTGGAATGACTGTTCCTCCCACTCGTATCTTCCCCGTCCAGTGTGCTTCCGGTTTCACCAGCGTTCCATCTGCCATTTTGAGTGTGCGCTTGGATGCGGACCCCCCTCCCAGTCGTTGCTTGTATTGCTCCCATGTTCTTGTGTCCATTGCACTCACCGACGCTCCCCCATCAAATAGCGCCTCAATTTCTATTGTCTCCTTCTTCTCGTCTATGATACCAATCGGATGTACGAATGGTGCTGACTTCCCAGTTCTGATGGCATAGATTTCAAGCATCTGCGATTCATCGTTATCTTCGTGAACATGTGATTCGTCTATGTTACTGGTTCCGGGGCCTTGCTCTTGCCTCGGTTCTTGGGTCGTCGTTTTGGCGTCTACGGCGACCCGTCCCGAAAACCCTGCTGTCCTCCGTCTTCTTCGTCCATCCAGTCCAAGATTACCGCGTTGACCGTTGCTACGCGTGGCAGGTTCTTGGCGCAGATGCGACGGAAGTGACGTTCGGCGGCTGGCAGCGCTGCTTCCGTGCACTCTCTCGCATTGTGTTTTGGGACTGTGAGCCTGCCACAATTCCAGCATTCACCGCTTCCCGGCCAGACCGTTCCGGGTGAAAGTGGGACTCCGACCTGCTTGACCATGACCGGTCCTTGTAGGCTCGAGAACGCCCTCCATCTCGCTTCGTACGTTGCTATGTCCGCCGGCGTTGTCCCAAGCAGAGGCTTCGTCACTTTCATCTTCTCTAGCACCCGTATCAGTGTTGCTTTGGCTTCCATGGATAGCATTTCCAGCGATGCCTGTGCGGTTGCTTGGAAGTTCGGTGCCAGTATGCGTTGTTCCGCTGTGATACTTGTGCGCGCCATTTGCATGCGAATTGGTGCTGTTGGTGATTGTGGAATCGGCGGTCTTGTTGTGCTCTTCGCTTTCAGCGCTGCAAGCTCCGTTTTGAGCTTGTCACTTTCTCTCTCCTTCTCCGCTTCCTCCTTCAGCTTGTCCACATCGATCTTCTCGATTGCCGCTGCGAATACTTCCCAGCTTGTTGCTGCTCTTGGCGTCTGGTCGCGTAGTGATATTGGTAGATGGTCTCGAACGACCCATATGTTGCTGCTTGACTTCGATACTCCTGCCTCCTTGGCCATGCGTAGCATCTTCCTGGCGAATGCTACATGCGCGTGCGTTTCTACTCCTCCCACTGTTGTTTTGGTTCCGAGCTCCTCAAGTGTTATGCGTATTTTGCTGAGTTCGCGCTCCCATTCCTGCTTGGTTTTCTCTGCCGCTTGGGGTGCGTCGAACTCCGCCACGAATGCCGCCCTGGCGTCTGTCCACTTCGTGACCGCCATTGTGGACGCTTGCTTCGCTTTCCACCACTTGTCCACGGGTTTCCCCGCCAGCAGAAAGTTGCCGAATGCGTCCAATTTGTCCGCGTCAGTTGTTAACGCCATGCTATGCATCTTGAGTGCGACATGTCGTGCGAAGTCCTCCGCGCTAATTGAGTCCTTGCCTGGCTCTCTGGAGTAGACTACGATTGGGTCTTTGTCTCCCATGGGTCGTGCTCGGTGTGCGTTTGTTGGTGCTGTTATGGTGCTCGGGACTGGTATGTGAGTTGTCGCTGCTGACCACGTTGGTTGTGTCTCCGGTTCCGGTGTGTTGTTTCGTGATATGAGCTCGAACGGCGTTGCTTGTCCGCTACTTCTCAGCGTGTCCGGTGTGCTTGGTCTGCTCGTCTCTTCCTGTGACTGCCCTGCTGTTCTTCTTTTGAATCTTCCACGTGCGTCTCGTACGTTCTGGCTACTGTTTTTGTCTGCCACTTTTGCATTGATTTCTCTTCTTTCTGCGTGCTGCGTGTGTCGAAACTCGCTCTTGTCACCAGATGGACTAGTGGCCTGATGCTAACGAATGATGATGGCTTCCTCCCCCTTCGTGTGACTATCTGCCTGAGTGTGATCCGTCCTGGTCACGTGCCTGTGCACGTGACCCCTACTCCACCGTCATGGCCGTTTCAATAGCCCTGGTCTGCCAGAAAATGGCTTCCACCTTTCCAACATTCATTGGACTTTTCGCGAGGCGTCGTGACAGACGGAATCTATAGGAGCCGCCATAGCCATAGCCATAGCCATAGCCATAGTCATAGTCAGAGCAGTCGGAAAGTAAATATACATCTGGGCAATGGTCCAGGGGAACTCAGGCACTTGAATTGGTATGTGTGTAAGGAACGTGTAAGTGTGAGCATGGAGTGAACTCCGCTTGACCAGTAGAAACAAAGTTATCCTCAGAACCTGAACAGACCCTTCTTCTTCTTCTTCTCCTCCTGGACCGGCGGAGAGCTCGAGTCATAAGAGTTGCCGGGAGACATCCGGGGGGAAGGTGGTGGCCGCGGAGAGGGCTTGCCACCTCGTTCAGAATGAGAGGGCGCGGGGGCGACGACAGCAGCGCGAGGTGGAGGAGCATCTCGGATATAGTATCGTTCGTCATAGAACTCTTGGAAAGGTCTATCGGCACGCGTTTCTCGCAAACCATTGGGAATTGCCTTCGAGCCTATGCCACCTAGCTCCAGAACCTGGAGATCGCTCAGGAACTCTCGTGGAGAATAAGTATGAGTTGATCCTGGAAGGGTTCAGATCCTTGACCTCAGTGAAGTAAAACATTGGCCTCACCGATGTAGATGTCGCGATTTAGCGTAGAAGACAACTGGTACGCTTCCCGGATCTCGGAATATGTCATTCCTCCGGCCACGAACGCAAGCAACCGAGGCCGATTACTTTCAGGCCCAGATCGTGCTGCTTTGATCCATCCGGGGCGCTGACTGCGTAGGGATGTTGTTTGGACGGGCGTGTGAGTGCGAAGACTACCCGATGAAGCCGGTGGAGCATTTGAGGGCTCGTCCCGCACATACGGAAATACCGTCTTGTCAAGCCTGTCAGCGACATGGTCCTGGGCGAAATCAGTTACATCCGGCATGATCGGTGAGTGATCGTACTTCCAACACTGTCTTCAGGAGAGGTTTGAATCGGGAAAGTTCGTATTCTTCATCCGTATTCTTCGACTTTCGCTGAACTAGCTTTCGCTTGATGTCACGATCGCCAGGCCCCTATTCAGAGATGAGCCTCGAATTGCACTTGGGCTACGACCACAAACTCTGCTAATTCGCACTCCCAGATGTACCAGAGCATTGACAGCGTCTTGCTCAGGAACTGACAACCTTGCGTGTTGATACAGCCGCCGACGATCTTCGTCCGGAACTCCATCGCGGAATTGAATGTACAGCGCAACAATTCGGACCTTGTTGGCATTCCTGCGGTGAGAGTCAGGCGCGACTTCGATGACGCATTGACGGGAAGTTCACATGACTTCACGACTGTCCAACAAGGGCACCATGTCCTGCACGAGGTTCTTTGGAGTCTTTCCTTCCACTGTGGCTCCAGTGGCACAGTCTTGCTCGATCCCTGCGACGAGCGGAAGCTTGTCCTGCTCGAACAAAGCCATACATTCTTGTGCCATGTTCAAATGCAACGAGAACTGCACGCCGTCAATCGCGAGAGCGTGAACCGACGTGGAGCTAGTACCTTTTCGCGCTGCTCTTGATATTGCGGGAGACTAGCCAGCATCTCCTTCATGTCGTTGAGACTCGCTGCACCTTCTCTGCAACGAAATGAGCCACGGGGAGCCAGCATTCACGACACGCAACACGACTGACCCCTTGAATACAGCATTCTCTTCTAGAAACTTGTTGAAATCTTGCATGAGTTTGTCGATGGCTTCACGCATGTGCATATGGCGAACATCAGTCCACACCGAGTCTGCATCTGTCAGAGTGGCGGTCTTATCCTCGAACGACCCAACCGAGGATTGGAACTTGTACCTGGTTATGTCTGAGTAAGAGCGAATGGGATAAACGATCTGAGTCGGACGTGTATTTGGTGCCCCCCTCGATAGGCAGCAGGTCGTTAGCCATCGCCTGATATGTAAACTCGTGCACCAAAGGTGCTATCATATCCATTGCCCGGTCGGTAATGACGAGGGTCCCCCTCGGCCGAGCCGGTTCCGCCTGTTTCTATCGAGATTTCAGGATGGGACCATGGCAGAGTTGCGAGCAGACCAACTGCGAACTCGGGGTTGGCTTTCTTGTACTCTTCCAAAGCATTTTGTACATGAAAGGCGATGATCTTCGTTGGGAAATCGCCCTCGACTGCTTCGTAAGCTCTGGCCTCGCCGCCCCGAGCAAGATTCGTCCGCCATCGGCCGCTGCTTTCCGGCGGTGGTGGAGGCCGCGTTGTCGCATGAGGCTTTAATGCGCCCAGCGGAAGGTGGTGGGAAGGAACATAGTATCGGATGTAGGGGAACTCATTGAGCGTGATGCACACATTCGCGATCTTGAGTGATCAGTCATTTACATAACTGACAGTTATGAGGAACATACATACCATCTTGCTGACGAATTTGAGCTGCTCTTGAACTCGCGAGCGCGCGACCTGGAACTGCGAATCATTGCGAGGAGGACTATACAATCCAAAAAAGAGTTCAGGCGCTTGAAGGGAGAAGGTTTGTGACTCGGCGGCTGAGAAGTTGTCGGATTTGAGTCCATGGATGTAACGAGATACACGCACGCCAGAAATTAATGAACAGCTCTCTCACTGTTCGCAGATACGGTTCGGCTCGAGAAGTTGCTAGTCGCTCCAATAGGTGCTCATCGAGTCCTAGGTTATGATCAGGGAAAGGATCGGGATAGAATCCGCATGAAGTACCCTCGATGAAGAAGACGTGGGCTGCAGCATACTGTCGTGTGGACCCGAAGTCTTTAGTGATACGGTCCACGTTCTGCGTCGTGGGCATTAAGAGATAGAGTGCCTCGAATTCAGGCTGAGGGTCGCGATGTGTGTTTATCGACTCGATGACTGGAACAATCAATCCATGCTGGTGACACCTACGCTCCGGGACGCACGAGTAACATTCTCCTCCAGGATGTCGAACTGCTTCAAGACGGAGCCCAGCAGTTTCTGCGAATGTTCATCTACCACCAAAATCTTCCATCTCCCCGGAGGATTAACTGATCGTATAGCGTCGAGAAATTCTACCAAACGAAATGAGCCCAGTTGGCGCAGTAAAAGGAGAAGCTACGCACTAGAACGGACGGTAGTTATTAATGACGCCATACGAGTGGTCTCGAGAGTTCAGGAACACAAAGGAGGAACTTGGGATGAACAAGAGGAACGTGAATGGCTCACACGCTGCTTAAGCAACTGCGAGGTAACAGTCGGGGCAAAGATTCAAAATGACGAAAGTAGATTGCATCACTGCTTCCTTCCGCTTGTGGTGAAGATCTTGCAAAATAAGACAGCACTTGTTTGGTATGCAAGCTTGAAGTTGAATAAGCGGTGTATGCTGGATGTGGACTGGTTGGACTTGATTTGAACGGGAGCAGAGTCCTCAACAGGTAGTTACATCAGGTCGAAAGACCAACGAACGAATACATTGCTACTCCAATACAATCTCCATCTCATTGACTTGCCCGTTCCTAGTCGACGAAGAGAAGACGTCCGCACCGGAGGCAAGAGAATCAATCAGAAGAGCAAGGCGAGATGTCCCCAAGTTGGGTTCCTGCGGATTTACTGTCGGACGAGGCAAGACGGTACGAGGAACTGCTAGCTACCTTCAACCGAATCTCCTCTAGATCATCCTTGAAGCCGTCGGCAACAGAGGACATCCAGAATTTCCTGAAGCGCTCCTTCAGTCTGTTTTCTGCATTTTCGTAGTCTGGCGCGTCTGCCGGTGGGAGAAACGACGGTAATGGAACTGATGTTGGGGGAGGAGAAGGTGTGTTTCGCCGCAGATTAGGGGCGTGTGCATTGACAGTGGTCACAGACTGAGAGATAATTTTTGCCGAGGGAGAAGCATCTCCCTCTGAACTCGAGCTCGAGTCTGAGCTGTCGGAATCAGAACTGTCTTCACTGGAGGACGTTGCCTCGGCAGGTGGTGGAAGGGGTGCAGGTGCCGGTGTTGGCTTAGATGGTGTTGCCTCGGTTTCAGAGTCAGACGAGATCGCCGAAGAATCGGAGGATATTGAAAGAGCGCGTCTTTTTCGTTTTCTGACCCGCTTTCGCGGTGCACTAGTTGATGGAGGCATGAGTAGAGTTCAAGTATGCAGTGCTGATCGGCAATCAAATCTGGACCGAAGTGATAGTCAATCGCTATCTTTTCTCCTCTGATTCTGCACCATGTCTGATAAAATCGTCGGAATCCTCGGTAAAGGCGCGTCGAAGGAGTTGATATATGTGACTTCGAACTGGCTAACGAGTTGAATTTAGTCTTCTGTAGGATCTCCTCAGCAGTGTCTTGATATGACCTGAAGGTGGCGGTCAGCTCGGTCGTATGCTCGCAGCATCGGCGTCCTTGCTCAACATCAAGACGGTAATATTGGATATAGGCAATAATGGTCCGGCGAAACAAGTTATTAGTCCAATCTCTCCGGACCTCAATCACATCGATGGCTCGTTCACCGACCCTGAGCGCATCGCAGAACTCGCAGCCAAGGTGGACGTGCTCACCG